CTGGCAATCATGCTCAGTTTGGTTTGAAATCCTTTAAAGTAAAACTTTGCTAGAGAATTCAGATTGAAGTAATTTTCATTTCTGAGAAGGCCTCGTGGTCTTCAGCTTGAACACAGATCAGTTACTACATGCAACCGTTCAGGCCATTCTTCTTCCGATACCATTTCGGAGATCTCTACCTATACTTCCACTTTATTTCTGTTCCTCCTGTCAGGCTTATGACCCTAAATCATTAATATCTTCTTTCCACTCAAAGAAAGCTGGGCGTTGCTTGCTCTGAAACCTAACTCTACTATTATTATGATTGCTGGAGTTACAGGAAAGCCCCATCTTTCCAACAAACTCAGTTGCCCATGTTCTACTTTCACTTCTGTTTTATTAAACTGAAAAAAAAAGAGTCCTCTGTTTAAACATATGAAAATACACATTCTTATTTTTGTTAGAATACTTAAGAGAGTGGAAATGATTATAGATTAGGTACTTCCTGAACTATCCTGAACTATACCACAGCAAGCACGATGAACAAAGTATTTTACCAGTCCCATTTAGACTAAATAAAAACACAATTAAAGCTACCAGTAAACCAGTAAATATATTTTCTCCTCTCCAGATGGAACCTCTTTAGAGATTATTAAAATCAAATAAATGTTTATTATCTGAGTCAGTATTAGGCCTGCAGTATCTCTAGTGCAGGTGTGATCTTTTCACTTTTCTGTTATAAGATTACGGAGGCCTGCTGCTTTTTATAGCTTTTTATTCCCTACAAGAATTGTGTGCCTTATTAGAAATCCAGAAATTATAAATGTAACATGAGAACACGCAGCTGAACAATGGATGTTCAGAGCTTTTTCTCGTAATACCTGTGTTGTGGAAGGTGGTATTCACAAAAGTACAGTTCCTGAAGTATGTGTTCAGCGAAGTAATGTCTTCAAACACACAGTTCTTAAAAAGTGAATCTTCAAAGGTTACTGATTTAAACTTCATCATAACAAACCTGTCCAATACAAATAATTTCTGTCAGTCTCTCTTCATACGTTAGGAAGAGCAACAGGTCAAGCTGATGCAGCTGTACAGGTTTAAAAAATCTCAAACCCTGAAACAGTGGTTCCTTAAAGACATTCTGGAGATGTAATTAATGATTAGCTGAACATAGAATACTGTCATTTTGAAAAAGCATTAGTAAGACAAATAGCTCCACATAGCTCCAGGCCACAACTGGTAATACAATTTCTTTGATAATATTTCTGTTATTACTTGTCCTTAATGATCAACCAAAACCTATGTCATGACATTCATGGAATAGCCTTGTAAAGTTACTACTACTTGTAATTTGACATTGACATCAGAATTTGAGAGAACATGCTTCAGAAACTCAGTCTCTTGGAACAAACAAGCACCTGCTGGTACCAACAAGCTGGAACAAAACAATTTTTTAAAGAACCTTTATTTCTCCGGATGAACACACTGGGCACTGTGTCAGGCTCAAATGCAAAACATATTGGTCCAAGTGTTAAAAAATGGTTTTGCAAAATGGTTCAACATGAACACAACAATTACATTGACAGTTATATAGCTAGATACCTAACTGGAAACATGTGTTTGTTACTCCTGTGTTTGTGGATGCAATTGCAATTACTGTGTACATAAAACAGGTATAAACAAATTGTCAGTTGCTTTTCTTATTTCTGAACATCCTCCTTCCTACTGACTCTCCTTTAACTCCTAGGTCTTTGATCAAGACTGTCAATCAAATCATTGATAGAAAAAGTGAATGACAAATGTATTACTAGCAGTAACTTTCTACCTCAATATTACCAGACTAAAACAATGCTGTAATCCTTTTTTAAATATAATTCTACCAAACAACATCATTATGCTAACAAAAAAAAGGACAGATGTAATGATACATCATTATTTTTGCAATGTCTTTTATTCCACATGAAGTTGTGGGAAAAGCTACAACTGGAAAAGTCTGCTGGCAGACTTCACCCAAAGTGGCAACAGTTTGAAAAGCAGTGCTTTAATTGTTATACGGCACTAAGAACTGTTAAAATGACAAAGCCTTCTGAACACAGACCTGGCTCTGCTCTATTTAAAACTAGCTAAGTATTTTTCATATTACAAGAGTAATAGTAGGAATAGGAACACACAAAATATGCTATCTATGAAATAGTAGGAATTAAACTTTCTCACTAATAAAGTTGTTGGAATCACATTTTTTGAGAAAGCAGAGCAAAAGCTAATTGTGTTTATCACAGGAAAAGTCTTACTAGCTAATGAATTCTCTTTGTGTATTGGTCACAAGAATGGTGTTTTCAGCCCATTAGTTTTAGTTACTGTATCATTTATCATTTGTGACAGACTGATAAAATCAGGCTGGTGTTCAGTGTCAACTCATTATCATTTTTTCATATAGCACTTTCCATTTTAAAATGTAGTCTAATTCCAGAGGAGAATAAAGTAAGTTTAGCAATTACATTAGTCAGTTGGAACAGAAAGGACAGACTACGTGTCCTGCATTCTTCTGATGTACTTTTTACCTTTAGATAGGAAACATATTGTGACTATATTAAAATTGGTGTTGCAATGATTTGAATTAAAACCCAACAGAAATGTAATGAAGTAAAAAGTCAAGTATTGATGGAACTTCTAGTCAAGAAAGAACATGAAGGCAACACTGGGACTGAGGGCAAGTGGAGTTTTGAAACGTTTGTGGAGGAAGAATATGAAATGAGTTCATACTTCTGTGGAAATGTTTTGTGAATCTCAAACAACTGTCAGAGGCCTATTAAATTTTGCACATTTGAAAGAATACATTGGTGTTTTAGAGCAGATTAATGTTAGATTTAGTGATTTACAAGACTTTTCAGTTCAAACTGATAAGACCTTGGTTGCCAGAGTGCTGGCAGTTACTGGCAGAAAAGGGTTCTTTGCTTTTAGGAGAACATCTACTTCCCGGAAAGGAACAGAACTGGGACGTTATGGCTAGTTTAAAAATGAGGTAACTGCTATTTTTTGTCTGCAGTGCATAAACCTTTAACTGAGCCAAAACTCAAGTTCTTATAAAAATAATTTACAAAACCCCATATTACCAAAATCATTAATTTTATTCACTTAGGTATAGGTTTTCCTATGGAAATAATAATTACTTAGCACCATGACATCCAGGAGACCATTCACATGGTTGTTCTGTATATTTCTTAAGAGAAACCAGATACTTAAACCAGCTGTGTTTAATTTTCCCTTAAGTTATCTAGTCATCTGTAAGTCCAGATACAGCCTTAATACGTTTGGATTCAGTTAAAAAACACAAAAGGCATTGCCAACATGTTGTTTCCTGCTTCAGAGCTGTTCATACTTTTTATTGATTTACAGTAACATTTAGCTTTTAATTTTCTGTGATAAGATCCTAACCTCTCAATGTTCAGCATTTTCACAGAAGCATCTTTCATCGATATAAGAAAAGAACTGGCAACAGAGATGAAAGTATGTCCTTCCCCAGCCCCATACAATATGCCACATGTGTTGGGTCTGAAAACCTTTAAATCCCACTGTGAAAGGAACTACTGTTAACTTAGTGTTTTCGGAATGGAAGTGGGGTTTGCATGGGGGATCCTCACACAGGAAACACCGGGGCATGTATAGGTCCACTTCTCCCCATGCTCCATGAGTCATAAGAAATCAAGAACAGAAGTAAATTCCCATTAAAAAGTAACAAAACCCTCTATCATTACCTAATGGAGAAAAGGATTATATTATTAGGACATGCTTTAAAACATGCATTTGTTTATTCCAGCCAAGTCAGGATATTAGGGAATCTCTAAACCTGTCATTGATGTATTCTCCATTGCTGTGAATCTGATTTTCCAGCGTGAAGTTGAAGACGAAATGTGAAACCTCCTCATTGTGGAAATGTTTCACTCGGAACGCGTACTCATCTGACTGCAGATGTTTAATGACATCGGGAAACCAGACAGATAAGCCATAGTAGCTGCGAAAAACAGAAAAAACTCAGTTGCCAATCTCACTTGTTCTGAAATCTGTGCGAGGTGAGGACGAGCAACTCTCTCAGCTGCTTACGTGACACAGCAGTTGTTCCATCATGATAAAATCATCGATAAAATAAAAACATTGAAAGATGCTGACCCCAGAACATATCAGTTTTCTGAAGCAGATATTCTTGATGAGTCAGATTTGCAATCAAGAACAGACTGATGAGACCAATAAATACAGCATTTTATGGAAAGAGACTGAATAAAACCTTTCTGAATAAAAAGAATCATCATAGTGACAGAGGTTTGCATGCAGATGATTCTTCTGTCTGTCAAGTCTATTAAAAATGGTTTAAGATCTCAACCACTCTTACCCAAAAGACAGGGTGAACCACACAGCTGTAAGTTTGATTGTATTATCCTTCACCGGGTAGTTGAAGCATCTCATAAATGTCAACCAAATCTGTAAATTATTAGGAAATACAATTATTTTAAATCACATTTTGAACAATTTTGTTAAATGATAGAAGTTTTTTTATTCTGATTGGCTTGCTTCTTCAGGGCATCAGAGTGAGCAGATTAGCTCTTTGATACTGGTCATAGCTGTACCTCTCTTACAAGTATGTTAATCTCCATCTATAACCAGGTTGTGCATGTTCTGTGACTTTCCAGCTTCTTTTCATAGAATCATAGAATGGTTTGGGTTGGAAGGGACCTTTAAAGATCATCTAGTCCTATACCCCTGGGATGGGCATGGACATCTTCCACTACATCAGATTGCTCACAGCCCCATCCAATCTGACCTTGATTCCAGGGATGGGACATCTAGAACCTCTCTGGGCAACCTGTGCCAGTGTTTCACCATCCTCATCATAAAAAATTTCTTCCTCATGTCCCATCCAAATCTATCCTCTTCCAGTTTAAAATTGTTATCCCTTCTCCTGTCACTACAGACCTTGGTAAAAAGTATCTCTCCATCCTTCTTATAAGCCTATTTTATATATAGAAATGCCACAGTAAGATCTCCCTAGAGGCTTCTTTTCTCCAGGATGAACAACCCCAACTCTCTCAGCCTGTCCTCATAGGTGAGGTGTTCCCTCCCTGTGATCATTTTTGTGGCCCTCCTCTGGACCCAATCCCACAGGTCCATGCCTGTCTTGTACTGGGGCCTCCAGAGCTGGACACAAGATGACAAGTAGGGATTCAGCAGAGTGGGGTAGATGGGGAGAATAAGCTCCCTTGAGCTGCTGGCCACACTGCTTTTTATGCAGCCTTCTGGGCTGCAAGCACATGTTCCTGGCTCATATCAAATTTTTTATCCACCAGTGTGGACTGTGTCCATTAATTCCCCCCTGCTCTGGTCTCTTCAAACTTCCCTAATCTCTAGACAATTTCATTTCACTATCTCAAATAAACCAGAGATCTTGTCAGAAATATTTTCTTCTCACTTCCTGGTATTATACTCCTTCAAGTTTAGACAAACTATATTCCGTAAGTCAATGGAACACACTCAGAGTCTGATCCATCATAACTTATCATAGGTACAAATTGATGCTTTAACCATATGAGGAAAAGCTGGGACTACATCCAGTTCAGAGATGCTACAGCAGAGCTGACTGAGAATGGTGTTTTCCTCTCTCCCTCATCTCAAGATGATCTCCTCCTTTTGAAGGGAAGAAGCAGTCTGTCCTAGGAGGTTTCAGCACACATCATGCAACAAGGAAGATGCCCTGATCCAGGGGCTAGTCCAGTGAGATAAGAAGGATGCGAGACAACCAAGCTGCAATTCCTTTAAAGCTGGTTTAGTAACAAGGCCAAGTCATAACATTTCAATATTGAACTACTCCATTTTTGGACAAATAGCTATAAAAGTTGACACGTTCGGGATTATTTTTTTTCTTGTAGGAAAAATGCCGTTTTTCCAAGCAAAACAATTTTGTGGCAAATCTTGGTTTGCAACACTTCATCACAGCTCTGGAGAGCTCTAAGATGCCACATTTTTAACAGCTGTGAAAAGCTAGTTTTGAACTTTAACTTGTTTTGTTTTGTTTTGTTTTTAATTAATGAGACTTTTATCAAGTTTTATTACAAAATTCAAAGATACTGCATATTTTTAGTTTTGCAGAAATGTAAAAAATGATATGGAGCACAGTTCCAGTAAACTTGTATTAAACTTTCTGAAATAGCTCTAATGTAGTTTTCTGGTAAAACATTTGACATGCCTAAAAATACATGCAGATATAATGCCTTAGAAAGGTTTTACTGACATTAATTTACACAATTTATTCGCAACTTTCCCATTTGTAAGTAACGTGGATGCCTCAAGTTCATGCTGATAATGTTTCCTCTCATCATGTGTCACCTCTTTCCATAGGTAGATATTGATATGCATTCCCAGTACAGTGGTAGATTCCTACAGTGTGGTGCTTGGGAATATGGCTATGTAACTACTAGCCATCACTTATGTGAAGACCCATGCAGCATTTTCCTCCTCAGAAGCTGGGACCAACCTCTGTGCCTCCTCTGGGTCAGGAAACCAGAACCTTGTGCTGGTTCCTGAACGGTTCCCAGTTGCATGGAAAATATAGTGTTGCAGCTATCACCAGCAGGAGCTCCATCATTCCATCCCACTTCTGAAGGTTAGTTAAAAAGAAGAAAGGTAAGTACAGAATGAACAGAGATGTTGTTACTTACACCATATAGCTCTGTGCGAATTCTAACGAAACACCTCCTGTACCAAGTTCCTGTATCGCTCTCTATTTCTATGAGCTCATCTATCTGCTTTGGAGTTTTGATTCTGTTAACCTAGAAATAAAAACAGAACAGCAAATATTTGCATTTTCTTGAATCATTAACTGCCTGTCGAGAAGTATTGGAAGGTTTTAATAAATCCCATTGACTAAACCCGAGAAGACATTAAACCTGTGTATACACGAGAAATGCTTTAGAAATACAAAGGAATAGTAGCACACTATAATGACAAAGTTCATTATGCATGCAACTGTCTTGGAAAAGCTCTACTTTCAAACCATGCAGGAAATCCATTCCCTCTGACAGAAACAAGCTGTTACTGTCAGGTTTTGCTAGAGTGATGTTGTACATACCCCTAATGCCACAAAGGATAACACATTATTTAAACCCTCAGTTAAACCACGTCCAGAGTTTGCTATCAAGTTGTTTCTGACTTGCTGTCACAACATTGTTGAAAATCTATTGATTAAAGATACAGTAATGAAAATAGACGTATTTGAAATTTCAAGAATTAATAGTTGAATAACATTTTTCTTTTGTTCTTATTTCCTGTAGTGTTAGACAGGGAACTCTCTTTGCCTTTTGGGTGCTGAGTTTAACTATCTTTTTTAATGGGAAAAATGAGAAAAAGTTAGGTGAAATGATCTGGAACCACACGTGTTATTGCTGTTATGAGCAATCATCTACTTCATCTAAAGTGAAATGAGATAAACAGACATCAGGGGAAAATACAGAATTACCAGTGACGGAGAATGTGATGTTGCCTACAATGTTAATTTTCACTTGCACTCTCCTGTGTAGCAGTACAAGAATGTCTTTCCAGACATGGGACCTGACAAACTTATACCATTGTATGGTTTTGGCTTCTGCTCTGGTCCCAGGTTTATAGCGGTATCACAAAAGGCAGTGTATTTATCCACAGTTTATTTTAAAAGAAGACAAATAGAGAATGGAAAGAAAATAAATAAAATGGGGAAAGGGAATGGCTTATAAGGAGGGAGGAAGCAACAGACTGAATGTGTAATATTTGTCTGCAGTTTGTGAAGGTGGCAATAGCTTCAGGACAGAATGAAGACACCACCACCTATGGAGGTGTAATAGTGGATTACAGGACATCAGAAAACAGCAGTATTGACGGTTCAGCCCACTGCTTTTACAGATGTACACTGTTTAAGATGCACCAGCAGCCTCATCCCGTGAACAAAACCAAACAAAAGCCCACTAAGTGGTTTCAGCTATAACCACCCTCATCTCTGAAATACTGCAGCTCACCCTCTTGCCGAACCATGACTATATCAAAAGCCTGTACCTTTCTCGTCATGCCTCTCCCAATATCAATAATCCTGTCTGCATCATTCAATTGATTTTAAGCTTTTCGTAAACTGCTTTTATAAAACATGTTACACAAGAGACTGAGTTGAGTCCTCCAAGATTGTCTGAGACCTTGTACGTATGGACATGCTTACATGCCACGCCTCCGGGCAGAAAGGGCATGCATCTTGAATCGCGGTGTATAAACCAGTACCACTCTCGTAGGCTCAGGGTCAGCATTTTATTGCCTGTCCTGGCCACCTGGCTCATCTGGAGCTGTGGAGGCTGGAGGAAACATGTATATATCCTAGAACCACCGTATGTGACTGGGGACAAAAAGCCTCTAGCCTTGATGGCTCTTTAACATAAGAAAAGTCCTATTGAATCAGGACAATGGTCCATCTGGACCATGCAAATTCAGCTGTCAGTGTATGAAGAATGAAAGAAAAAACAATAAAATATACGTATTTTAATGAAAATGGAACTTCTGTTTAAAATAAATGGTTAGAAACATGCAATGTTTTAAATTTTACAAAATCAAGACATGCTGCAAAGGAAAATATTTGCAGACAAAAATATTAATTAATACATGGCAATGAAAGAGTGGAGACAATTTTGGGTTTAAGGATACAAAGATTTTTTTTACTTAAACATTTAAACCAATAGATCTAATGAATGCTTATTTTAAGGATCCAGGGAAGGTAATTAAGCATGTATATAAACATTACACTTGGGTAGTCCCATAACAGAAGACACTATCAACTTACTACCTTCACTGTTAGTGTCACCTCTCACAGGAGAGATTTTCAAGAGTATTAAGAGCCACCACCTCCACAGTCAGTAACTAGAATACATCCATTTTAGAGTTTCTAACTATAAAACTAACTGTTCATCAGTTAATGCTTTCTCTGTTTGAAGGGTTTGAAGATAAAATCCTCAATAATATGAGTAACAAGAATAAAGATGACTTGCGAAAAAAGCTTCTAGGAAAAGATGACGTCAATATAATTAGGAAAACATATGAAAGGAAAGCACACTAAAACTATAGCAGTAATGGAGAAAAAGTTGCATCAGCTGTAGAGTTAGAAAATGTATTATCAAAGTGTATCTGATGTAACCAGTGAGATGAAGTGGAGGAAAATAGTAATGCATAAGTCATAGAATGGTAGTGGATGACGCAATGGGGTTTAGGAGAGCTGTGTGAATAAACTACTGAGATAAAATGTCCAAATATCCAGGACTAACTTAAAAAAAGAGAGACTAAAAGGATGTGCCAAACAGATTACGTGTAAGTTCTTTGTTTTCTGGGCTTTACAAGATGTGCTGATACTGTCCAATGAGGAGACAATGATGCATTTTCTAATGCAAGCTAAAAATAGGGACTTCTATGCATGTGTAACCTTGACATACATTACAGTATTTTTAATCCTTCAACTCCTTGATATCTGGAGTTGAGTCTTCTCAATGTTCATGGCAGAAACTGGCAAAAATTCCAAGAAAGTGGTGTTTTTTCTTTATTCATGCCTTCTTCACGGCTGACCAACTAACAAAAATTGCTATATATAAAATGCTGAGTTCATATGGTTCAGTGTCACATTTTAAAAACCATAGAGACAAGGACTTGTTAGATCCCAAGAACTGGAAACAACAAGCATGTGCTTTGTTTTCTTCTCCACAGTTGCTTTAGGACATGATTACAATTACGTCAGACTGATGTGAGGCTGGCTGATCCTTCCTCCCACCTTTTGTCCCAGCACATTTCTGTCTTCCTTGTGCCTAAACCAACACTGTAGAGGGACACGGTCTGTGCTACGGCTGACTGTGCAATCAGTCAATGAATATCAACACTGAAGAAAAACAAAGAGTAACGGGGGGCAGGCATCCTCTGTCTAAAAGCAGCTCAGATCAGCAAGAGCCAACTGTGAAATTACACCCTAGCTGTATGGTGTTAGGCAAATCCCTTTACTTGTCAATGAAATCAGAAAATAAAATATTAGGTTAGATGGGATTAGGGGTAGGTCACCGGTGTGTCAATAAACATGGATTTAACATGATAGATGTGCTAACCAGCCTTCTTTTAGGCTAAATATAGGAGTTCTTGAACTTTTTGGTGTAAAAAAGTTAAATGGAGGCAATGGAAACTGCACCCAAGGCAATAAACCACAAGTATTAATGGAATAAATTTATATGGTCAGATGACCATTCCTTGAGACTGCCTGCAAATGCAGAACCTTTATGAGGGTTTCTTAGCTGAGTTATGTGTGCATTAAAGTAAGAAGACAGGCTCTGGAACAGGAAAAACATCCCACACATGGCTCTGAGAGGGAGCAGAGTGCCAGCACTCCCACAGCACAGCACAAGGAAAGGCATCTGGATTTCAAAACAAGAAAATGCTTTCTGCTATTTGGTCCTACTGCATCCAGGAATACAAAGTTGTTGTGTATATTATTCATAAATATGGTAGATGCCATAAAGAAGTCCCACATCTGAATTGCCAATTTCTCCTCCAAATAGAAACAACCCATCAATACTTGGACTATGGCCTTATCATTAGACCTGCAAGTCAACAAGATGCAGTTGAGCTGCGAAGATAATTTGAGAAAATTAGATGTCTGAAATTACTATTTCATAGAAGTGAAAATGCATTTTAACAACTATTTTAGCTGATAAAAACAACAAAATAATTTCAGAAGCTTTAAAGACAGAACAACCAACTAATGTGGGCTTCTATGTGACTACTGTTTTTATTAAGGGTAAAGTAAACTTAATAAACAAAACACAGATGGAGTCCATTAAGTATCTTGGTACACCAGAGAAAATTATCACACTGTGGTTTCATAGAGTCAAGAATATGCTGGCAAAAGGCTGATGTCTTGACATCTGCTGTATATATAAAAATTTCAGTAGGAATTTGGTTCTTATATTTAGGTATTTAGAGTGCAAATGATTGTCTTTGTCATGCAGAATATTAATATTGATTTTTTAAGCCCTCCAGACCTTGCCAGTTAACAGGCTCCCTAATGTGCTAAGCAATTAACTTTAAAAGCAATACTCACTGTGAAGACTTTCTCAGGCTGACCACGAGCACGCATGTTTGTGTCATGAATTTGCTTGAGTATCATCCAAGCTTCATCGTGTTTTCCAACCTAAACGTTTCATCAAAACATTTAAACAAAATGTGCATACAGATTAATATATTCACTATAGTCAATGAACAATCTTAATGCCTGTTATGTAGAGGTCATGATGAACACAGAAATTATTTTGACTAGAATCTGAGAATGGGTTGGAAAGTTATACCTCCAGCAAGAAACGTGGGCTTTCTGGCATAAAGGTGAGGGCTACCACAGAAGAGACACAAGGCAGTGCGCAGACAATCACGAATACTCGCCAGCTGTGGAACTGGTAGGCAGAGCCCATGCTGAAACTCCATCCTATGAAAGCAGAAATTCACAAAATGTAGAGAAATAAGAGGCATTGTACGTGGGAGTATGCAGCTTCTTGAAGATGCAAAATGATACCTGTATTTAAATCAAGCCTGACTGATCTCTTCTATTTCTACAAATATCGATGATTTCACAAATAATATTAGACTATGAATTTCAGCTTCTTGCATGTGACTAGTCATGCTGGAAAATGGTATTTTATGCAGCGTGGGAGGCTTCCTTACACATGGATGAAGAAACCTCTTTCAAGTCTCTTAGCAAAACCTGCATGAAGGTAGTTATGTGAACCAAACAGGGACACCATAAACATATGTAAGATTACATATACAGAGAAATAGTTTTCTGTGAATACCGGAAGAAGGGAGAATTAAAAATCTAAACTCAGATGATACAGTTTATGGAATTTTACAGCCTTCCTCATTGCTATTAACTTTTTCTACAAAAAATTAATTTCAGTACTCCTAATAAGAGTATCCTAGTGCAATACACTGCAACACAAAAATAAATTACAGTGCCTAAGTTCTGTTTGGGTCTTGTTCCAGAGCACTATACAACTCCTTAAATTCCGTTAAAAGTAAACTGGCACTTGTGCCTCCTGCCCCATAACTAGATGTACAGGAAAATGTACTCACTATTTAAACTTCTATCTGAGATGAGCAACTTAACACTGAAGTAGAGAGAGAATTTATGATTATATAAAGAGATTAAGAAAAAAGAACAACAGGAAAACAACTTACCTCATCTGAAAAACTGATCTTGAGATACATCTGAGTGCTGACTAATAACATGCTGTAGAAGCCATTGTTAAAATATACTGAGAAGAACACAAAAGGCAATACTGGAAAATCTGTACATGAAACTGCAGGGCTGGTAGTTCAGCTTTTTAATAAAATATCTGATTGTTTGGTGTATTATGACTGGGCTACTGAAATGCTAGAATTGTAAGAAACGTAAGAATTTCCTTTAAGAAATTCTTATGAAATATTATTGGGTAACTTACCAAATATTATTTGGGTAACTACCTGGCCTTTTAGTCTGGCTTCAATACAGCGGAAATTTTCAAGTAAAATTTTCAAGGATAACTTATTAAAAGATGAGTGGAAGATAAGAATAACAATAAAGGACAGGAGAGGTTTCTGGAAGAAAATGGAATCCTGGCTAATGAAAGAGCTGATGCCAGATTAGTCTGATATATTTCTTTGTTAACTGATTTTTCTAGACAAAAGACATAGTTAATTAAATCTGTCTGGATGTCGGTAAATAGCTGGTACAACATGGTACCAAATGGCCTATTAAATAGCTCTTCAAAGGAGGTATTTATCTGTTAAATGTACAGTGTATTTTGGAATTTAAAGACCTCATACTGTGGATCATAACTACATTCTTGGAAAAAAAATTGTTCTCATATTAAAGTACTTACATGTTACCATATGAAAAACACAGTCAACCCATGATTTATTTTTGCTCTTTATCAACAGCTTGGTGAAACATTTTGATCCGCACCCATGGGGACCTGTTTTTTCTGGTCTTCTACAAATCTTCTGTGTTTCTGAAATGATATCGGCTTGTTCTACAGCCTCATTTAGCCGTGCCACCTTTACCTCAGGAAGGTAGAAGGTAAAACCTGTGACAGTGTTGGCAATGATCTTGGAATGCCATGCTACTTTTTTTAAGTAAGGCTCAAGATAAACATGCCTTTCCCCCTCCGAAGTTCCCTCCAGCAAAAAGATGCCGTCTAAAATTTAATGTTAAATTCTATTCCAAAATAAAACTTGGAATGAAAATTGAAGATTAAAAAATAAAACAAAAAGACATATAAAAGTGTATTAAAATTCGCTTATTACTAATTTTTGGAAAATGTCAACTTTTGATCTTACAGAATTTCAAATCTTAAATAATATGGGCATACTTTACATCTAGTTTGGGAAGGGAAGGAAGTAAAGAAGGAAAGGTTTAGAGTGAGTTCATAAGGCAATTAGAAACCATATAGGTGTTTTGGGTATTTTATACCCATGATGACTATTGTAATCATTAGAATCATCTTCTTTGCTATGTATTTTAAACTATAGCACAGAATCACGTGATACAGAACGCAGAAAAAGTTGATTTTCAGTCAGAGCGGTGAGCTGCTCCGACTCGCTGGGCAGCCGCGCAACTGCTGGTGCCACGGGGAAGGCGTCACGGCAGCAGCGTTTTCATCCTCAGAACAGCGTGGTCACAGTACTGGCTCTTCTTGTCATGAGAAACTGTCCCAGAAACACACAGGGCCACCGGTATATTTAGACAATCTGCCTCCCACCGCTCTGGTTTATGTTTTATGGGATTGAGCTGCAAAAAGGGCACTTCTGTGGTAAATGAAATCAACCTGGCTTTAGACCTGTTAGAAAACAAACGCACCATCTTGTGCTCTGTAGCCAGTCCTGGAAAATGTTGGTGATAATTTATTTTAAGGTGTCATTTATTAACGTAAGTGAACCATACTACTGCTAGTTAAAAGCAGAGTGCACTGTTTATCCTGCTGTCGTCCCGACAATCTGCAAAATATCTTTTTTATGCCTCAAAATACCTGAGGGGCATGTCAAGTGAAATGTTCATTATGGTTTTTATTGCTCTTCCACCTTCTTCTCTATGTATTGTATTAGCTGCTGCAATTTATCTTGTGATTTAACATATCTGCTGCATTAATGATAACAGTGAATGTCAGGATTATAAGAAGCAATTGGTAGGGAAAAAGCCAGCTGCAGCACAGCTTTCTTGAGACATTTCTCCTGGCTATTCCAGCACCAGCACTAGATCAGCAAAACAAACATATACTTTAAATGCAGAGCAGGTTTAAACTCATTCTTCCATTTAATACAACCCATCTTCCTAGGCCATGAGCTAACCTGGAAAATAGAGCCATTAGAGTAGCTGTGAATTTAGCTCACGAAGTGGCTTTCATTCCTATTGCACGTTAAGTTTTGAAACCAAATGGAAGTGTGCTCTTGGCTGTAACTCAATTTGCTTCCCTCTTCCCTGATTTATGCCCCAATAGCAAAAACAGAGCAGCCCTACACGGTCGCGTTCAGAGCTAAACTTCACCCTTGCTCCCCGGCTCTGCCATATTCCAAAGTCATTCATCTTGAAAACGGTGGCAAGTCCCAACGTTTTATGAATTGCTAAAACACTTGGCCCACGTGCACCTTGGGAATTACGTGCTGTAGAGCAATGTAAAACCCCACAAGGACCGAATCTGAAGCGGCTGCAGCGACTTTTGTGCCGAATACCACCCTCTCACCTTACTGACTGCTGGAAAGGGCCAAGTCATCACAGACATGGCAATTACTGATTACAGAAACCACAGCAGCAGATTAAAACCAAAACGTACAGGATGTTAATCTATATCTAATCAGCAATTTATATGTTGAGTTCAATGTCAACAAAATCTGCCCTCCCAACACAGAATTTCATCTGCTCCATAATATTAATAAATTAAAAGGATATTATAAACAAATTCTTGCTCCACATGAAAGAAAAGACCATTTCTTTCAAAACTTTCTGAATAAATACCTAATTCAGAATATACTTATTATGCTGAATTTTGTAAGTGTATGTTACCTTATAAACAGCGGGTATCTTCAAGGACAAGGATCATCTTTTACAGTGGTCAGATTACTGGAGAGGATGATTTGTTTAACTTTCCAAAATGAGAGCTGAAGGGGAACATGATAGCTCTACACAAATCCATAAGGGTTACATTAAAGTGCAATGTGGGCAACGAAAAATATGGGTGCCTACAGGTTCCATATAAATACTGGCTAGCAAGGGGAAGGTTTCTAAATACCACAGGAATAAGGTTGTGAAACACCTTTCTAAGAGACTAATGTAGGCAAAGAAATCCTAACCAAATATAGGGATTTTATGGCATGGTTAGCTAAAGACTGATCATTCTCGGTAACAACTTTTGTTAGTCATTTAGTAGGAATCAGAGGAACTAGATTCATGGCAGTGTCAGAAATTGTCAAAAGCCAAGTTTGCATAAACTTATATCTTTTGTTAGATGAAACGAGGGAGTAGGTGCAAGAATATCCCTAAAACAAAGGGCGGAGGAGAAAGATAGCCAAAGAATTTCCAGGAGGTCATAAACCCCATAGGTTCTTCTGCAGAGTCCTTTCTATGATTTTATAACTTTACTTATTTTTGCTTTAACACACAATCTTTGGTCAGAACTCAGCTTTCTAGCCTCAATTCCTAATGTTTCAAAACGTGAAAAATTTCCAACAGCTAAGATGTGTGATTGCTCTAGCCACGCGGTGGCACCATTACCACACTAATAAAAATTGTAAGACTTCTATTAACTGTTGTTTTGTTGAGTATTTCCCAAATCTAAAATAAATCAAAATTATAAGGAGGACTGGAAATACTTTGCAGCTGGCAGCATAGAAATACATTATTACTGAACTTATATTTAGCCTGCCCTGGTATTACCAAGTTTAACTGTGAGAGACATCTAGGATTTGAGCCCATATATATAGCTCATGTATTTAGTTGTACTCGTTAGAGTAATAGCAAAACATCACGAAAACAGGAAAAAAATAGAACAGGTAAGTTATACATTTGAGGAAGCTCAGTTAGAGATTTTTACAAGACAATGAAATACAGGGTTTTTAACAAGTGCAGAAATAATGTTTTCAGAATTATTCTGTAACTGTATTAATGCGAAATTCCAGTAACAGATCAGAACGCCTGTCTTTCCTGTGATTAGATTATTAATCACAGGGAATTAATAATTAATATTTTAATATATCACATGGGAAAGGCAGTGTTATTTTTAGTCTATATAGATAGATACTCTACAAACCCATTGGCTCAGCGGGTCAGCTGCTTGTAATTTCATAGAATTATAGAATCATAGAATCTTTGCATTGGAAGGGACCTTTAAAGATCATCTAGTCCAACACCACTGCAATGAGCAGGGACATCTTCAACTAGAGCAGGTTGCTCAGAGC